GTACTGAACCCTCTCCCATTGTAAACAATCCCGCTGTACTGAACCCTCTCCTGTGTAAATAATTTCACTGAACAAATCCCTCTCTCATTGTAAACAATAACACTGTACCGAACCACATCTTACTCCCTCCTGTGCTATCAGTTCTTACTGATTTTGATGTCCCTAATCATGTAGCCACATTATCAATTGAATTCCATCCTAATCTGAAACCTAAGCCTGACATAAAGTTTCACCTGTGAACATCTGTTTCACTTGGAGTCTCACTCTTGCTCATTTTTAATTTATTTTTTCCATTTATTTTGTTATTCCCACGCTTGACTCATTCTTTATTGAGATTGGTTAACACCCTCATCGGCTGCATATAGCATTTTGGAGACAATTACTGAACGGAATGGCATAAATTGGTAAAATATTTAAATAGCCAGCATTTGAAGATCAAATTCCCACCTTATCAGATGAATGATCTGCATCTTAACTAGATTTGCATTTGAAGATTTATGCTTTGGAAGAAGAATTATTTACTGGTATCAGATGCTTCTAGCAGCACTTATTCAGCCCATTAATATCCCAAGCCAAGACAACTGGACTGAATTATTTCTTGCTGTTTGTGCTTCAGCTCCATGTTTTGCACCTATAAAACCGTGTAGCATCCACTTGCATGAATAATTGAAATTCGAAAATAACTAGCCTTGTACCTTGGGAACCAGATAGCAAACTGAATCTGAATCAGAATTTCAGACTAGCAGCAGCTGTTTTTCTGTCCCTGATTGAACCTTCTGCTTCTGCACTTGTTGGAGGAGGAGGAGTATTGCTTGACATATTTCTGAGGGAATCACGTTGTTTAAAGTTTTGAATCGGATTTTGATAGTATACACTAAGTCAGCATCTCTGGATAATGTATCAACTGATTATGCAAGGAAAAGAAGTCCTTTTGTTACATTGCTTTCTCTGTAATATTTATGTGTCTACTTAAAGGGAGAGATATTTGATCTTTGGAGCACCATCATGTGCTCATGCCAATGTTCATGTCCTAGGTCTGCTACAAGCAAAGCAAAGCTTAATACAAGCTAGAGGAACAGTGATTGAAGTTAGCAGTCTTCAGGGTCAACCTTGAGTTCAACTACTTCAGAACATGAACTCTATCCTCCATTTTGATTCCCAGCCTAGTATTTGTCAGTCAAGCTGACCTAATTTTCCACTGTTAACATCCACCTACTCTTCATCTATATCTCTCCTGTGCTGCCAGTAAAACTGTCTTTGCCTGTTAATCTGCAGCACCTTTACCATCTGTTCTGCTCACTTCTTCTTCCTGCTTTTTATTCGCTGTCACTTTTCCTGCCCCTTTTAGCCCTGACCAAGAGTCACACTGGACTCAAAATGTTTGTCTCTTCACAGATGCTGCTGCTAGACCTGCTGAGTTTCTGCAGCACTTTCTGTTTTCATTCCATTGTGATATGCTTCAGTCTGTAAACTCTTTTGCAAATTAATTATGTGAAAACAGAAAGTGGGAGGTAGAAGATGGTTGATTTGACAGACCTTCCCTTCCTGGCTCCTATTCCATCCTTATAGAAATATGGTCATCGAGAATTAGAAAACTATCTCCTTGCGCTGAGACCTGGATCTGAATCCAGAGTAGAGGATCCAATGAAGTTACCCTGCCATGTACGGACACCAAAGATTTTATATGACAGAGAAAGGAATGGAGTACTCAGCTCCTTTGAGCTTGCTGTCTCACTCAGTTGGATTGCAAACAATGTCTGTCCTGAATGTCGCCCTGATTTTAAGTGCCCTTGTTCTTTATTTCCCTGTATCTACACTGTCAAACACTTGTAGCATTTTAAACGTCTCAGTTTGATCCTCTTCGATCTTCATTCCTCAAGGGAACACAAGCTCTGCTCATGCAACTTTCATGAGGATGCCCTCATCCTCCTAGCCCTGCTATTGTTCAGCTCCTAAAAGGGCACAGGACCGTAGCTTAAGACTTCACACACAATTGAAGAATGGGTTACAGCAGAGGAGACCATGCAGCTCATTGTAGCCATGCTAGGTTGCTGCAAGACCAAATTTACTCGTTCCACACAACCCTGGCTACTCTTCACCATAGCCCAAGAAGCTGTTTGCTGTTCCTGTTCCCCATCAAAAGCACCTCCACCACACTTTCAGACAGTGCATTTCAGATCTTAATTACAGGTTAATAATTGTACTCTGAAAGGCTAGAAGATGCAGCAAGTGTATATAGTGATGAATTAGTTGATTTAATTTTAGAATCCCTACAGTGTGGTAGCAGGCTATTTGGCCCATCAAGTCTGTCCCAACCCACCAAAGAGAATCCCACCCAAACCTGGCCAGACCTGCCTCCTACCCTATCCCTGTAACTTCCATGGCCAAGCCACCTAACTTGCACATCTTTGGACTGTGGGAGGAACCCAGAGGAAACCCATGCAGATGCAGACACGGAGAACGTGCAAACTCCACACAGACAGTCACCTGAGGTGGAATCAAGCCCAGGTCCCTGGTGCTGCAAGGCAGCATTGCCGCCCACTTCGTCTCACAATGTGACTCTTTGGTGTGGAACTAATAGCCTTAAACCATCAATTCACATTAAGGATTCTATGCCATTTAAATAATTACAAAATCCTGCAGCAAACAAGCAACCCACAAGCTTATAAAAAGTGCAGCATCATTACTGAGAGTTGCTTACGTTTAAAACAGGAATACTACAGGTTCAAACTATGTCCTGGGAATGGTAAAACTCTGTATACCAGGTTCCACCTGCTGGTGAAGCTCTCTTCTACACAGTTCAATTGGAGAAAATCTGCGTGAAAAGTCATAGCAAATATCCACATAACCCAAAGCCTTTATGCCCAGGAATATTCTTGTAAATCTGTTCTATTCCTCTGTAAAGAATTCACTTTCTTCCTAAATTGTCATGACTAGAAATAGACAAAACCAGTATTTAATAAAGATTCATCACAATGTTGTTTTATAATCTATGCATTGATTTATTCAACTCAGAATTCCATATGCATTTTTTATTCACTTTCTCAATCTGCCCGTCCACTTTCAGTGATCCGTGCACAAAAATCCACAGGTTTCTTTGTTCCTGCAACACACTGAGAACTCTATCCTTTGTTTTATATTCCCTTTCAAGGGCTAACAGTAAATAGGGCTGCAGTACAAAACAAATATGTATAAAATGTCAAGAAAACAATACTAAAGGTACTATTTCTGAATGCACAGAGCATTTACAATAAGGTTTTGGAATGAATCAAGTAAATAGTTGTAAACAGAAGTGATATGATTGTGATTACTGGGCTATGGGGTGACCAAGCTTAGGAACTGAACATCCAGGAATATTCAATCTTCAGCAAGGACAGGAAAATAGAAAAGGAGGTGAAGCAGCATTGATAGAGAAAGATGAAACTAGTGCGAGAGTAATCAAGGATATTGGTGCAGGAAATCTAGATGTGGAATCCATCTGGGTGAAAGTAAGTGGCAAAAAGATATTATTTGGAGTTGTCTATAAGCCTCCAAACAACATTGGCTACATAGGCATGGCTCAAATTAGAGATACATGTGACAAAGATGCTGCAATAATCGGGACTATATTCTACATATAGACTGGGCAAACCATCTTAGCAGCTTCACAGTAATAACTACTGTGGTGGGTAAATTCCTAGACTGTGTACAAGATAAGATTACACCAACACATTGTGGAACCAACTAGGGAACAGGCTACCCTAGATTTGGTTTTGTGCCATGAGAAGGGACTAATTAATAATCTTGTTGTGAGAGTTATTTAGGAAAAAATGACTACAACATGATGGAATTCTTTATTGGCATAGAACGTGAACCTGAAACTAAGATCCTAAATCTAGACGAAGGAAGTTACGAAGGTTTAGGGATGAGGTGTCTGCAATAGAGTGAGTAGCTTTATTAAAAGGCACGACAGTGGATAGGTAGGTTATTATTTAAGGAATGAATCGAAGCATTGAAAGAGTTATGTATCCCCATAAACATAATGGAGTTTTACCTCTGTAAACATCCCCCTAGCTAAGGAAACACTAGCCCCGCTACTACACAGACCAAGGATACAGGCACCCGACAACACAAACACCATCAGCAAAGATGGTACCGTCAAACTACTGCATCTGTACCTCACAACCCACTTCACCTTCAATGGCAAGGTGTACGGACAAATCAACAGAACACCCATGGAATCACCGATATCAGGATTAATAGTGGAAGCCGTAATGGAAAGACTGGAATGGACAGCCCTTCCCACCATCCAACCAAAACTGTGGATCCGCTATGTGGGTGACATCTTTTGTCATTATCAAATGCTCTAAACTGGAGGAAACCCATGTACTCATAAAAAAAGTTCCTCACCAGGGAAAAGGAGATCAATA